TTCTGCAGAGCATTGCCCCTGCATTGCCTTCTCTGTGCTATAAAGCTTCTTCACTACACATGGGTGCTGAGGTGATAAAAACATCTCATTAATTGTTTTATAAGTTAACCGAGAGTGAAAACTGACCCACCATCATTTAAACTGTAACTGATCTTTTAACCTACTCCCCTTGGAGAAAGGGCATAATTCCTAATCCCTATATGATTTAGTGGTTGCAATAAAGAGACTACCTTTCTTAACTGCCCAACCATAACCCCCGCTGAAGGTTTTCACTCAAAGGTAGGATAAAACAAGAGATGAGGTAACTCATCAATTTATAGTGTAGTAAACCACTGAAGTGTAATAACCTAGGGTGGTAAAATGAGAAAACTGATGGCTGATTCATGATACCTCTTACACTGAACATGGAGTCCCTCCCACAGTTACAGGACAATAACTGGCTTAGCTGCCAGAAGAAATCCACCAAGGACTGTGAATCACAGCCCTATTACATAGGGAATGTGAAGACTGTCAAAGGACAGGGCAACAAAAACTACACGATCTCTACACCGCAACAGAAACCGACGGAATTTTTTGGCATAAAACTCATTAAAATGACAAATCCTGTGTACAGCATCGGCATAACCATAAAATATGACTGACAGCTAAAATTTCTACTGTATTCCATCTATCTAGTAATAAATTCCTCAGTTTACCCACTACATATGCAGTTATACATATACTACTGTAATAGTAGATAAAACAAATAGTAGATAAAACAAAGTTAAAAATAGCAAGGGTTTCCTGATCCATGACTTTCATTTCTTTGGAAAAAAGAAGTCACTTGGCCTACCTAACAACAACCTACAATCTTTACAATTAAAGTTAAAGTTTCATCTCAGGTAAATGTGACTACAAACTGTGAGATTAGGAGAGGATGAAGTCCCAAGTGACTAGAATCCCTAACCTTGCAAATTCTCCTGCTTTGGATTAACAACAAAATTTCCTTTACACCAGCTGCTATTATTAATCAAAGTAAGATGCATCTAGCGACACCTTGCACTAGGGGAACATCAGTGTCAGCAAAGGGCCATATAAAGTTTCTGTGAAGTTCTTACATGTTGGGATGAAAGGTCTACCTTTATGCAAGGTAGACCAACGCACATACACTCACATACTGAAAACACAGTGTTTTTTTTTCATATTTTCATATTTAGTATGAATATTTATTATGTTACATATTTTCATATTTAGTATGAATAGACTTTTAAGTCAACTGAAAACAGAAGTATAGAGAGTAAAACAAAGATGAATCATTAATAGTCATTATCTCAGTACTCTTATCACAGTGACACTCTTAGTCCTTGTTTACCATGGAAAACCAGCTATCATAGCATCATATATATCAGTGAGCCTCAGCAAAAATCACCTGTGTTAAACTATTTACTTACAAGTTCAGAACATTATTTTCTTTAATAAGCTTTACTACACTAAAATTTTCTGTTTGCAAGACACTGATAGTGTTAATATTTCTCAATTTTATCTCCACAAGGTCTTCATATCCCCAGCAATCCTCACTAAATCCGTGAGATTCTGCACCACGTGGGTAAAGAAACTGTTTACTTAGTCCTAAGGCCTCAGTTTACGCTACTATAGACAAACCATATGGGAAACCAGAAAAAGCAGCTCAAAAGCAGTTCCTTCTTCATTCACTTGTTTAATTACTTAACTAAAAAAGGAAAGTTCCAAATGTAATATTTCTTATCAAGTGGCAGTCATTCTACTTGTTCGGATGTGATTATTTTTACCAATTTGCTGTCGACACGTCATACACTGTGTAGGGTTGAGCTTCCAAGTACTGCACTGATACCTATCTAATTCTAAGAGCAGTGTAATGCAGGTATTATTTCCTTTTAACTGTAGCAACTATGACCCAAAGAAAAAAAAAAAAGAAAAAAAAAGACAGCAATAATTGTTTAAAAAGATGCCAGAATCCGATCATGGCATTAATTAACCTGAATCACTGAATCAAGAAGGAAATACAGGTCACCTGAGCACTGAACTTCAGGTATGTTTCATTAGTGAAGGAGAACGCAGGTTCTAGGTCTGTGCATGGCTGTGGAGGCGGGTATTATTCTTAAGGAAGCGCTCGGAGCGGGGAGACGCCGGTTACATTGCGGGAAGGTGCATCCTGCCGGGAGGCCGCTGCCAACTGCGTAGGGGACCCAGCGGGCACCTTCCTTCGCTTCCACCTACCAGACTAAGCCTCCGCACCGTGGGGAAAGGAACGAACAAAGGAAGCTGCTCCTCACGCACTACCCGAGAGACTCCCCGTTCCGCCGCCCGGCCCAGCTCAGCCCCGCCGCCC